TGTAGGAAAAGTGGGAGAACTGACCATGTACAGTTTAATGCCACAAATTGAGGGGAAAACACCCAGCAGTTTGGAGATAGACCCTGATTATTTGTACTGATTGTCTTTCTGAGACATCGTGGAATTCAGTGGAGGTTCCACAACAATGTGAAGTTGTCTAAGCCCATTTTCTTTTGCTATTACCTTAGTACTTTTTTTTTTTTCGTCTTTTTGAGACAGGGTCTCGCTATGTAGTTCAGGGTGGCCTTGAGCTCACTGTGTAGCCCAGGTTGGTCTCGAACTCGTAACAATCCTCCTGCCTCAGCCTCCCAAGTGCTGGGATTTCAGGCGTGAGCCACCACACCTGGCTATTACCTTAGTACTTGTGAATGGATAATTTATAAAGAAAGTTATGTAGTTCTGTAGGCTGGAAAGTCCAAGGGCATGGCAACAGTATCTGTTTGGCATCTAGTGAGGGCCTTCCTGCTGCATGCTAACTGCTGGAAAGAAAGACAAAGCAAATGCGTTATCAGCTGTCTCCTCTTCTCATCCTGTTCCTTTTCTCTCTCTCTGTCCCTGTCTGTCTGTCTGTCTGACAGGGATGTTACTATGTTGCCCAGGCTGGCCTTGACCTTGGTGTTCCTGCCTTAGTCTTCCAAGTAGCCCAGTTTACAGGTGTGTACTACCACACCCAGCTCTTCTTCTTATAAAGCCACACACCTACCTTGTCAGGGGCCCCACCCTTGGTGATGTTATCCAGTCTCAATTACCTTTCAAAGGCCCCACCTCCAAATACCATCAATATATGAAATAAAGGATTAAGTTTCAGAGTTTCCACAGGAGACATTTAAACCATGGCATGATTCTAGCACTTTTCAAGTTTTAATGTACGTATAATTGGCATAGGGATCTGGGTAAAATGCAAGCTTAGATTAAATAGATCTGGAGTGAGCCTTGAAAGTGTGCTTTGCTTTTCTTTTCTTCTTTTTTTGAAAGTGTGCTTTTCTACATAGTTGGTACATTATGCTTTGCTGCTCTTGGTCCATGGACTATATACTTTGAGTAGCAAGACTATAATGTGGAATTTCCCTTGTCCAGAATAATTTCTAGGTATTAAAGATGAAATGAGAGACTCTTGACCATGTTTTTAAAGCATTTAGAAAATGTCGTGGGATTGGGGTTGTAACTCAGTAGCAGAGTGTTTTCTTAGCATGCACAAGGGCCCGAGTTCCACTCCCAGCACTGGAGGAGGAGAGGAGAGGGTAAAGAAGAAAGAGGAACAGGAGAAAGAAAAGGAAGAGGAGCGAAGAAGATGAAAAAGGGAGGCGGAGGGAAGAGGAAAGCAGAGAAAAGCCTGGAAACGTACGAACTCTCCTGATTCTGTTTTCACGGAATTGGCTGTGGAATGTTGCTCAGCCATACATGACCTACATCCTGTCTGGTAATTACCACTCCCCATGTGAAAGGGGGGCAGCCACTGTCCACGCTTCTCTCCCCAAAAAGCCCCTCAGGTACAGCAGGCTCCCTGTCTAGCTGGCATGTCACTATTCAGTGCTGCGTGTCACTGTTCACATCTTGTTACTCAAAGAATGGCAGCCTGCTGAACATTTCTCATATCAGTCATTTAAACCTGTGGCAGTAAAAAATGATCATCTTCGTTAATGACTGTTTTTTAGTTCTGTATCTTCAAAGGTACTGAGTTTCCTTCCTATACTTTTCCTTTCGTCTTTTCACGTTTCATTTTTCAAGCAACTGCTTTCATATCTTTGATGTTCCTTGACACTCAGTTTTTTTCTTTTTTTGGAACTGGAAATCAGACGCAGGACCCTGGGCTCCCAGGCAGGCCTTATGCTGCGGAGCTATATTCTTGGCCCATTGAGTCTCGCTTAGAAACTTGACCTTCACAGGCATGTGACACACCCTCAGCTTCCCCTGGGCACCCCTTCAGGTGTGCCTGCCTCTAAAATCAAGAGAACCTAATTAACAAAGCTGATTTTTTTCTAGAATTAGTCTTAAATTCTATTGGGTCATTGTAGTCTGATAGAGTTTTAGAAAATTTAAGAAAACTGCTTGACTCAGTCTTCACGTAGCCCTCTCTAACAGTAAATCAGGCCTTTTATGTTTCAATAGATACATGTAACCTTGTCTTCTATTATTGATCACCAGTGTGGAAACCTAACTAATCTTTCTCCTTCCAAATAGTGAAGACTCTTAAGATTTTGCCAAATCTAAAGATACTCCAAAGGAAAATGTAAGCTGTTGTGACATTCCAAAATATTTATTGTACATCATGAAGAGAATCTGATTAGTATGCCTGGTTCACATATGGGAAGTATTCACGTGTGTGTATATATGTGGTTAATCATACAACTTGTGACTAATGTGTAACTTCATTTCTTAGATCCAAATAAATTTGTAAATTCTCACAAAACTTCTTAAATTTTAAAGCATAATTACAAAAAATTTTTCCCAAATTATATATTAAAATAGGGCAGAATGGCAACAACTTTCAGTGGTCTTGTAAGCTTGTAAATATTAATGGAACAGAAAAGATATGTGCAGTTATGCTTAATGCGGAGGGGTCTTACAAAGTAGATAGCGACTAGAAGGTATTTTTTTCATTCTACTAACACCAGTGCTATTTATAACCATTTTTTACCTCAGCCCTTTAGTATTACTGTCTGTGGAGTAATCATCTGTGGTACATGACAAGCAGTACTGAATACTCTTCCATTGCCAAGTACAGTGTACCTTTTCTCCATTATCTCTAGCTGCTAGTCACCTGGGTCATTTCTTGGAGCCCTGATAATTACCATAGGATAAGGCCATCAGTCCTTAGCACCTGACCTTTTCCTTGCTCACACTTAGGGCCAAGTAGTTCAGTTGCCCCTTGATACAGAAATAAGTCTGTGGAATATTTCACTGGCTCGGCTAATAACCATCTGTCTCAATCCTGGGTTTCCTGTCCTCTTGGTAATGGCAACTATGAATCACCTTTAGCTTTCAGTATGTGGCGTGATACACCAAAAGGCTTTTTCTTAGTTATCCGATGCTTGTCCTTATTAGATATCAATTCTAGAATATTCATCTAGTGGCCCCTTATCTGGCTTGAAATACTGCTTTAAGTCAAGCATCTTGAAAATCTAGTTTCGAAAGAGATTAATGATCCTAAATACCTGTGTGACTCAGTTGTTTCTTCTAATAAAAGTGTGTTCTCTTTCCTCAGTCAGTTTTGGATTCATTGAGAGAATGGAAATGAAGGCTATGTTGTCCATGAAATGAAACTAAAGATGGGACTTCAATTTAAGAGTGCGCTTAAGGGGGCCGGGGTTTAGCTTAGTGGCGTAAGAAACAAAAGAGTGCTCCAAACTTAGGCCAGGGATTTAGCTCAGTGGCATAAACGCCTGCCTGGCAAGCGTGAAGTCATGAGTTCAATACCTGGTATCAAAAAAAAAAAAAGAAGAAGAAGAAGAAGAGTGCTCTTTTGATTGCTTTTGGTTCCTTGATTTTATAGCACTCTAAAAAAAAAACTTATGAAATCAGCAGACATTCTAAGAATTAATATAGAAATTAACTCTAGATGGCAAGTTATGTATATTATAGATATGTGACTAAAAGACAGTTGTATCTATTCTTGATATCTTTTACCTGTGTGGCCTTAAAGAGTACAGAAGAAACCTTCAGTGCTAGATGTTGATTTTATCTATCCTCTATCCCAAGTACGTAAATCATTTTGTATCTTATCGAAATACATTGTAAAATTATTAAACATTGATGGTCATGGTGGCACATACCTGTAATCTGAGCACTTGAGAGGCTGAGGCAGGAAGATCGCTGCAAATTCAAGGTCAGCCTGAGCTATATAGAAAGATACTATCTCAAAAAAATTATTAAAAATCTTGATTTGGGCTAGAGGAGTAGCTCAGTGGCCAAGTATGTTGTTTAATATGACAGGGCTTCAATTCCCAGCACCATCCACTAAACTCTTAATTTTGTTGGTATTTTTTCAAATAGCTATATTGGAATGTTGGTTTTGAAAAATATACACAAGATTCTGAGTAAATCAAAGTAAGTTTTAGGCATTTCCACTCTATATATTTTAGAAAAGTCTTTTTAATATCTAAGTTGGACCTCCAGAATTGGTGGGATTGGGAACACAAAAACAGAGATTATTAGTACTTAGAAGAAAGGCTTCTATTACCTATTATGCAACTAATGAACTAGAAAAAGGACCTTCAGATTATATGAAAATGATTTTTTATCCATATCTTTACCTCATTTTGAACATAGTGCAGTGGTTAGTTACGCGTCCTAAGTGACTTTTCAAAGTGTGTTTCTGTTTAATTGAATCCAGCGGGAGCTGGGAACCTATATTTACGTCTTGGCCAGAACAAGCCCTGAACACTTAAGAGTTTTTCTTGGGTATGCGTTTTTATGCCCTCATGGTCCTTGGTGGTGATCAGCATGTGCTGCTTAAGTTAGTTTCTGTATTGTGAGTTCAGCTGGCTTTTGTTTGGTAAATGTGGATGAATACTATATAGAGTGGCAAGGGAAGAGGGGGAAAAGGATGGAAGTCTTCAAGCATGCAGGGGAGCGCATCAAGAATTTCAAAGACTCTAAAACAGATGTAGAAGGGGTGGGAAAGCGCACATTTGAAGCCTTTCAACTGTGACATTTTCTTCTAATGAAGAGCAGCTTGAAAACTGTAATTTTGAGAGTGTTGCAGTATTTTAAAGTCAGACATTTAGCACATTTTTAGAGTGGTGAAATTTAAATTTTTTTCCATCTTAAATGGAATTAAGCAGTTTTGGTCATTATAATATCTCGATATTTATAAGTTGCAGAATGAACACCAGAGCTTTTAAAATTCGCATAGACCATGGCAGTGAATCTTGTACTTTATCTCTATTGTGTTCGTGGCAAATGATGTTGTATTTTGTCTCTTTTAGACAGAAACAGTACATTTCGTATTTCTGCTTCTTCACAAATGACCTTGAACTCTTCATTTTTATATTTTGCAGTACATTTTTATACCTGAAATTCCTGGTAGTGTGGGCGCTTGTCCTCCTTGCAGATTTTGTCCTGGAGTTCAGATTTGAATACCTGTGGCCATTCTGGCTTTTCATCAGAAGCGTCTATGATTCCTTCAGATACCAGGGACTGGTATGTTTACTAATACGTGCTCTCCAACTCTATGAGGAATAAGGGACTCTCCACTAGTTGATAGTAACCCATTTAAAATAAATTTGATGAACAATATGCTGGGGCGGAGTTGGGATGAACCAATAGGGTCTATGAACTCACACTGGCCTCTTGCCTTCTTTTGTCCACCCACTGATACGATTGTTGTATTCTTTCCTCTCCCATTCTGGCAGAAAGAAGAGTTGGGTCACATACTTTAGTAAGGAGAGAATAGACATGATAGTAGAGGAAACAGTCATTGCTCAGTCCTACTCTGGAGCGCTTCCGGATTCCCTGTCACAGTGTTAGTGATTGAACTAAAGTTGGATTAGTGATTCTTAAACTTTGGTCTCAGGACTCTGCTGCAGACACCCCCCACATACACACCCAGTTCAGAAGATAGAACTCAGGGCTTTCTCGCTGAGCTATATACTTGACCTTTTCTCTATGTTTAAAATTTTTCTACAGGGTCTGGCTAAATTGGTAAATTGCTGAGGCTGTGCTGTAACATTTAACCCTCCTGCCTCAGCCTTCCAGAGTGCTTGGATTGTAGGTGTGTGGTACTACCCCTGACCAGGCACTCTTAAGCTTTTGTTCATGTGGGTTACACTTACCTATATTTTCTGTATTAGAAATTAAAACTGGGAAAATTAAAAATACATATTTATTAATCTGCTGAGTAATGGTAATCCTTTGCATAGTAATACCGATTACATATTTATTCTTTTTTCCCCCCAGTGGTACTGAAGATTGAACCCTGCACCTTTGTGCTGAGCTACATTCTTAAACCCTTTTTATTTTGAAAGAATCGCAAGTTGCCCAGGCTAGGCTTGAACTTGTGATCTAACTCAGCTTCCTAGAGGGCTGGGATTATAGGCATGGATGGGAGTTACACCATTCCCAACCAAATTACATTTTAAAATGAAAAACAACTATGTTTTCAAAAAATAGAATAATGGCTCCATTTTTGCAAATAACTTAATGCCTGAGTCAGTAGAAGACAGATTTTAATATCTTTTTCTGAACTGAGTCTGTTGCAACTCAGGTCACGTAACTTCTAGAAACTTCTACCATACTCAAAAGTGAATGAGTGTGAGGAAGTCAGGTTAGGGTTAGTATTTTTATGAAAATAATTTTGGTCTCGAAGACCCTCTGAGAGGACCTCAAGACGTTCCAGAAGTCTCTAGGCTACATCTTTAGATTTACTGGGGTAGAGCAAGAAAATAGGCCTGGGTGTATTTGTTTCCTTTATGTGTTACTTCTGTTGTGTCCATAGCCACACCTCAAAACTGAAATGTAGCCCTGGCACTTTGGTCAGAACAAATTCCATGCTCTAAAAAAATGGTTTTAAGCTTATATCCAGTTGGTAATACATAGTGTAGTCGAAGGAGGACTTCATTATTACAGTTACTAATATTAGCATATTTCTTACTAATATTATGGTTCATCTGTATTCCAACAAGCCTACCTTTAATAATTAGGCTTTTTAGGAATGTTTGGGAGGAGAAAGAAGGTTTTCTGTTAAAATTTTTATTCTTTCAGATAATGTACCTATAGAATCCAAACAAGCTCACTGTGGCTCAACTTCCTTTCGTTCTGGTCTAGTTCTTCATGATTTAAGCACTAAAAATAGTATTACTCATTACAATCTTGAGTTAGCCACTTCTTTCTATGTGGTAGATTTTAAATGTTAAAAATTTCTTCTTGTTAACTTGCTTCAGTAATTTTGTTCAGTAAGCTTTTAACAATTTGTGTTTGAAAATAACAAGTTCTAAAAGGTATTTTTTGTTTTGTTTTTCCCTTAGGCCTTCTCAGTATTTTTTGTTTGTGTAGCATTCACATCAAATATAATCTGTCTGCTCTTCATTCCCATACAATGGCTTTTCTTTGCTGCTAGCACATATGTGTGGGTTCAGTATGTGTGGCACACAGGTAAGTCTTACTAATGTCTTAGAGAAACGTCTTAAATTTCAAGTTTTTAAAATGTGTTTTAAAATAAATAAACTATTTACAATTGAGCTTATGTAGATATTTATGTCTTCTTGCCCTTTCCTAGTAGATTATAATTTACAAATACTTTTTTTTTTTTTTTTTTTGGGGGGGGGGCTTTTTCCTTTTTATCGGTACCAGGGATTGAACTCACGATTGCCTGCCTGCAAGACAGGCGCTTATGCCGCTGAGCTAAATCCCCAGCCCACAAATACTTGTTTTTTATTACTTGAATCAAAAGTCTAAGCCTTTATTATTTCATGCCTCAATTGTAAACATTTCCATTACTAACAGTGTGAAGAGATACATTTAAAAAAGTTGATGTGATTTCTGTTTAGGAATAATGCTAAAATAAATGCTATGTGGCAAATTAGAAAAATGTTTGTAGTTTTCATTATTGAATAGAATGTCAGAGGTCATTCAGGTAAACTTGTCACTGGTCACAAGCATCCCCACAGTGTCCCTGGCATATGAAAGTTTTATCTCTGAGTGAAAAAGCACTTACCTGCTGTTCCTGATACCCTGTTCCGTTTAGGGGCCGCTGTAATAGAAAGTTACATTGAGACAAAAATGTCATCCTCATATTTTTTACTCTGTAAACCGCTTTATAAGATTTATTTCTTTAATCACAGTGTTTTATAGTGATCCTGTACAACTTAATATAGGAATGCTTCAAAATTCACCAAGGGGTAAAGGTCAGAGCCAGGCAGTGGCTGCAGGTCTCCTGTTGGTGATTATTTCATCCTCATGTTTTTAGCCTACTGTGTCATAACGGTTTTTGGACCTGGTTCTTTTTTATTTTATTTTTTTTGTATATACATAAAAATATATTCTTCTTTCTTAAAGTTATTATTTCATCATTAACACGTCTCCATGTTGTTATTAGTATTTTGTGGTACTGGGATTGAACCCAGGACATTGACTGTGCTAGGCAAGTTCTCTGCCACTGAGCTATATTCCTAAGCCTTTTTCTTTTTCTTTTTTATTTTATTGTATTTATTTTCTTTTGAAGGGAAATAAAACAAAACAAGATAGTGAGAACAATATTGGGGTTTCAAAAACAAGAGAGAAGAAAACCCCCCAGAGTTGCTGTATCACACATTGTTCATCTTCTGTGGACCCACTGATTTTTAGAGATCCTGAAAAGGCTTTCCCAGAAAATTGTATAGAAATACACAAAACTTTGTCTTAAAACTAGGAACCTTCCCACCAAAGCCACTCTGAGTATAATCTTCCTATCAGGTTAACATTTCTTTTCTTTTTTTTTTTTTTTTTTTTTTGACTGGGGATCAGACTCAACCTCGCACTTGCCAAGCAGGCACTTATGCCACTGAGCTCTATTCCTGGCAGGTTAACATTTCTTTGGAGATCTGAAGACCTTGTCATATCTTCTTCATTCTTTTCTGCAGGCAGAAGTATCTCTACTTCCATTAGCTTTGTCTTGTATTTTAAGTACTCTCACCATCCTGGTCTCCCTAGTTCTTAGTGGGTTTGTGTGCTATATTTCAGGTGTGTTCTAACTAGAGTAGAGCTACACAGCTACCTCCTTTCTTCTTCTTAGGGCTACACTGTTATTTCAAACCAAGATCAGATGAGATATTTTGACAGCAACAGTCCACTGGGAAAACCTGAATGTGGCGTACACTGGGATTTGAGGATTGGCTTTCAGGGTCACACTTGTCTGCAATGCTATATGAAATTTGATGCTTAGGCCTAGCTGCAACCTGTAGGATGTTAACCACTGAAAGAGCACCAAATGATAACTGTCTGACACAACACCCATCCTCTTCTCAAAGCTGCTAGAAGGATGATGTTGGCCTATGCACAAGGCAGTTGAGTCCTGTTATCTAAAGTACCCAGTGTGAGCATGATTTTCTCTATGTTTAGCATTCTTTTGTAACTAAGTTGATATAAGCTACCGTAGACATTCTTTAGTCTGCTTTCCTTTAACTTACTTTTCTCTGCACTAGTTTTTACTTACATTTTTTGCCATGGGTATCAGTTTTGAGTGCATTGCCACTTGAATGTTTGTCCCTTTCTCTAGGTATCATATTGTATGAGAGTAGAATACCCTAGATAATGTTTAAAAGAGCCTTTCAACTCAGATATTCTGGGGCTGTGATGAACTATGGTGATTCCCTAAATTTCTTTAATATTTAGTAGTAGAGAATAGACTGAGTATATAACTCTTCATAGAACCTGTTGGGAATTACTTCAGTGGGTGGTGTCACAGAGTTATTGTGGCCTGTCTTTATCTGTAGGCTCAGAAATGCACATTGGGTAGCTAAATTGTGAAATACGTTACAATTTGGAACAACTTTATTGAGCCTCATGGATATGAGTACAATTTATTTAAGTTGGGGCTAATTTTTTTTCCAGTTGAACTTCTTTCTCAAGAATTTTAAGAATAGTTGATAAAATTAGATCTGGCTGCGGCCATGGTGCTGCACGCCTATAATCCCAGCACTTGGGAGGCTGAGGCAGGAGGATCGCTGTGAGTTTGAGGCCTGCCTGGGCTATACAAGCAAGTTCAAGGCCAGCCTGCACAGTGAGACCCAAAAGAAAAAGAAAAGGAAAAGAAATCATATATGGCCACAAAAGATAATATTATATTATAAACTTTTTATATTATAAACTATGTTAAAAGATGCCTGGATATAAAATCAAATTTGTAACATGATTATTTGCTCAAAATGCTCTCAGTGTACTTTTATTTATTTAGTAGTTGTAGGAATATAATATGTTGTCTAATTTTTCTATAATGTAACTGGTTTGTTTTGTTTTGTTTTGTTTTGTTGGTACTGGGTATCAAACTCACAACCTAGCACTTGCCAGGCAGTTGCTTGTTTCAGCTAAACCCAGACCTCTATAATGTAACTTAAACTAACAGGAGAAGTGGGAAATAAACATTTTTGAAATGATTTTGAAAATTCATTGTACTGTAGGTTATTTTTCTTTCTGTATTGTGAAAATCCCTGGTTTTGATATGTTAAACCCATAAGAATGATTGAGGTCAGGAGCTGCCTTCACAGAGCTTCTGTGTTGACTTAATTCAGGACTGGAGGGATTTGGGTTTTCTTTAGAAGCAGACTCAGTGCTGTCTTTGTGACTTCAGGCTTAAGAGTTTTGCTTAAACTCTGGGCCTTGGTGAAGTTAGGCTAAATGGCCTTTCTGATTTTTAAGATCCTGTGAGCTGACTTTAGTCTCATCCTAAAGATTTCATTTAGTTCACTCGGTCCTTCCCTGCCAACCTGTATTCATAAATATCCCGTTATTAGTCATAGGTAGACCTATCATAGGTAGGTCTATCATAGGTAGACCTACTCTCTAGACTTTGATTCTAAAACCAGTGAAAAATTGTGTACATTATCTGTACTTTGTCTGTTGCAAGTTACTTTTTCTTCCCTTGAAAATTATTTTTAATTATGAGAGAAGTATGGGCTTATAGTTAAGAAAAAAATTTCAAATAATGCTGAAATTAAGAATTTTATTTTTAATAGATCATGTCATGACAATAGAGATCTTCATTATTTAGAAAATCTGTCCATATTTTATTATGTAGATTTATCATGATTAAATAGTTCCCTGTGGATGGACATTTAAATTCTAGTTTTATGTTACTGCGAATAATACTACAATGGACATTTTTATATGTTTATCTCAAAGTTTTTATGTATTTCTGTGGGGTAAAGTCCAAAGTGAAATTTCTGGATTAAAAGTACAAGTATTTTAGCCAGGCATGGTGGCGCATGCCTGTAATCCCAGCACATAGTAGGCTGGGACAGGAGGATCATTGCAAGTTTGAGATTAGCCTGGGCTACAAAGTGAACTTAGATCCAGCCTGAACTGCATAGCGAGATCCTATCTCAAAAAAAAAAAAAATAATAAAAGTAAAGAAAAAGAAAAAGTGCAAGTATTTTAAATTTAATTATACTGTCAATTTTAAAAGTAATTTATATTATTGTTAAATGTGAAATTAAACCTTTTTTGATACTTTTCCTTCATGATTATCTTTAAAATTTTTCCCTGAGAGTTAAGAAAAGGGATCCAATTTGTATTTTCCATCTCAGTAGTAAACTTGAGGATTTTTCATGCTTTTTAACTATCTATATTTCTCCTTTTATGAAAAGTTGCATATTTCCTCCTTTAGTTGCTTATGTTTGATTTTGTTTGGTGCTAAGAATCAAAGCCAAGACCTTACACATGCTAAGTATGTGCCCTACTACTAAGCTGTATATTCCTCGTTCCCCACCTGCATTTCTCTTTATTTTTAGACAGGGACTCTTGTAGTGTATACTTGCCTATAACCCTTGGCCTCAAGCAGTCTTCCTCAGCCTCGCCTGTGCTGGAGTAATAGGCACATGCCACTACCCTAAGCTTCACTTGCCTCTTTATTGATTTGTAGGAGCTCTTTGTATGTTGAACTATGAATCTTTTATTTTATATATATTCTGAATATTTTCTGCCAGAATATTTGCTGTTAATTTTAGTCATTGATTCTGTGGATTGTTTGTCATATAAAAGCTTTCAGTCTGGGTTAAGTTGCTTTTTAATTTAGTTGAAAGTCTCACAATGAAGGTTACTGTAGTTGAGTCAGTCTCCCAAACAACCCATCTGTTGTGTGTGTTAATGTATCATTGATGTTATCTCTCTATTGCTTTTCCACAGAAAGAGGAGTGTGTTTGCCTACAGTATCCCTCTGGATACTCTTTGTTTATATTGAAGCAGCAATTAGATTTAAGGATCTCAAAAATTTTCATGTAGACCTTTGTCGTCCATTTGCTGCTCACTGGTAAGTCTTTATAGTCTTGATTTCTAATTCATTCCAGTGTAGAATGGTAAGTTCAACTGTGTAGTTTTTCTTAGGGATTGTACATGGGCCCTGGAAGAAATTACAGCTTAGTGATAAAAAGCTTTCTTCAGACAGATAAATGTTAGAATCCCGGCTCTTTCCCCTGATAGCTGTGTTGCTGAATGTGTCATTATTTCTTTTTTTTGAAACAGGGTCCTGGTATGTAGTTCAGGCTGGCTTTGAACTCATTAAATAGCCCAGACTGGTCTCAGATTTACAGTGATCCTCCTGTCTCAGCCTGCTGAGTGCTGGGATTATAGGTGTGAACCACCATGCCCAGTTGGTATCATTGTTTCTAACCCTCAGTTTTTTAAAAAAATCTGTCTCTAGGGATCATGGGAAAGAGGAAATGGGACACTCTGCTTGAGATGTTTAACTTATGCCAAGCACTTAGGTGTTTGATGAATATTACTTATTTTTATTATAATCTGCTAATGATTCAAAAAAACTTGGTGAAATATATGACTGGTTCACGATGCTTAAAAGAATTTAGAGTTTTATCCAGGCATGGTGGCTCACTCCTGTAATCCCAGCACTTGGGAGGTAGAGGCAGAAGGATCCTTGCAAGTTTGAGACCAGTCTGGGCTATGAAGTAAACTCAAGGCCAGCCTGAACTGCACAGCGAGACCCTGTCTCAAAAGACCAAGAAAAAAAAAAAACCTGTAGAATTTTTTTTCTTAACCTGTTTATAGGAGATAATATTATTAACTTAAAAAGAATATTATTTCTAATGAAATATAAAATTGAATATTTTTCATTTAACCTGAACCAGAAACATTTCTGAAAATTAGCATGATTTTATTTATAAATATTGTGAAAGTCACCACTTAATATATGTTTCTCCTAAACAGACCAATTTTTGCCACTATTTAATGGCAAAACCCAAAATAAACTAGAACCTACTAAAAAAATAGTTTCTGGTGTTTTTAATCTCTTCACAAATGAGTTAAATAAACCTAATCAGTAAAACTTGTAACTTTAAATCTGTAATTATGAATTGATAAATTTTAATGTTAATGAAACTTAATGCAGGTTTGACAATGTTTGCAGAAGCTTTACAACAGTATTAGGCAAGCTGATGAGATGAATGAGAATATTTCAACTTTCTATCCCAGAGATTAGAGTTGTAAGTACACCTGATTTAATTTGGCAGCACAACCCAAATGTTAGCACTGATACCAGATACTTATTTAAATGATTCTTGAATTTACGTATGACAGAGTATTTATGAACTAATTTTGTAGGAATAACTGGTGACATTTATCACCCAGGCAGCAAGAAGATAAAAATGGCCCTGCCTTCTAGTTTTCAAGCCAAATAATGTCATTTTGATTTTTTAACATTGAGAATGTTTACTTTTGACCTCCCATAAAATCTCTACCTCTTTAATTTTTAAAGCCATGCAGATGTCTGAGTTCTAATGCAAAGGCAGTTTAATTTTCTTCAGAGACGTTACCCACTGAGTCTGTCAACGTGCTGATGCCCTGAACACCGAAGTCCAGGGGGTAGTGCTTTCCTGTGGTCTAGCAGTCCCGTGCTGTCGGGGTTTGTTCTGCAGGTTGCTGCCTCACTTTCCACTGCAGGCCAGAGACCGACTTGTTTATTGAATGTCATCTGTAGCTGCTGTGGGCAACTAGAATTTATCTTTTAATTCTAAGAAATAATTTTCTAATTTTAAGTATAGGTATCCTCGTGTGCTTGTCACATGTGTTGTGCTTGCAATTACTGGCTGGATTGTCTTCTTTCTAGTATTGGGTACCCTGTGGTGACTTTGGGCTTTGGCTTCAAAAGTTATGTGAGCTACAAAATGAGATTAAGGAAGCAAAAGGAAGTACAAAAGGAGAACGAATTTTACATGCAGCTTCTTCAACAGGCTCTCCCTCCAGAGCAGCAGATGCTGCAGAAGCAAGAAAAAGAGGCTGAGGAAGGTAGGTCTTGACCCTTTTTTGGCCGAATAGTCTAGTAATGATTTTGTCTCTTAGAACAGCTTTCTTTTTAGGAAAAATAGTTAACCATTTTAAATTTCCCTGTTTTTTTGGTGTTCTTCCCCAGGGCTTGTTTTGTTTTGGTTTTGGTCATGAAGTAGAATATAAAAATTTTTTTTTTGTTTTGTTTTGGTGCTGGGGATCAAACTCATGACCTCGCACTTGCCAGGCAGGCACTCAAGCCACTGAGCTAAATCCCCAGCGAGTGTGAAATTTTTTATCCAGTCTCTGAAAGCTATATGCTTTTAAAAATGTACATTTAATTATTTTTCTTTCCTTATTTTATATCTTAATATTTTGTTATAAAATTTTAAAAATATATTTTCAGCCACAAAGTAATATGTAACCCAATTTGTTATTGAAGCAGATCAGGAACTAACATATAAGCAAGATAAAGATGTAGATGTGGAATTAAATTTTATAAATCATAAGTTTTCTGAATAGAACAAAGTTCCTGTTCTAATGTTTTGTGTCATATAATATGGATTTTAAACTTAACTTCTAATGAGACATCTCTCATGGACATTTAACCAATAAATATGGATATATTGACAGTAATATTTGTTGCCTTGGTTTGAGAGTTGGTAACTTGAGATCACATTTTTACTTAATATATGCCAAAACCTTTTTCTTTGGTGTGGTACAAAAGTATCTCTCAAGTACGAGGCATAGTGGAACACACCTGTAATCTCTGTCTCAAAAAACAAACCAGAAACCTCTCGAATCTTATCAGATCAGAATGCATAGGCCTGAGATAGAAAATTCTTTACAAAGTAGCCTGGTATATAATAAAGACTTTTTTATTACCTCAACATTACAGTCAAGAAAGAGGATTGATGTTCTTATCTTAAAGACACACTTTTTTTTGTTTCATTTAACTTATTTTCAGTAAAGTTAGTAGCAGTTTGTTTAGTCCTGGCACCTTTTAAAATATAGCCTCCTAGAATAATCTGCCTTTGTCCTTTCGTCCTGTGACAGAGAAGTTTGAGTCAGTGTATAAGAAGTCAAGTATAAAATTCTCTAATCTTGTTTTAAGACCAAACTTCTTTTCTTTTCTTTTTTTTAATTTAAAGGGAATAACACAAAACAATGTAACAATGAAAGAACAATATTGGATTTCAAAAACAAGACAGAAGGAAACCCCTGTAATAGCTATATTGCATGTTGTGATCCTCTAAATAGATGCTCAGACTATAGGCCTGCAAAGTCAGTCAAACACTACAAACATGTTGTTTGCTTGTTTAACATCTCAGAAAGACCAAATTTTTAACGGCTTGACTTTCATAAATAATGGTGACTTTCTAAATGTGGAGTTCTCATAAGTATTTGGATTTGTTTCTTGAAGTTAGCTTAATCGACTGTGACTATACTTCTAAATGAATTTGCAAATGAATGTAGTAAATTCTAGGTATAACTAATTCAGTTTGTTGAAATAATCTATTCTGTATTTGAAAAACTAAATATTCTGGTGTGGGGCTTTTTTGTTGTTGTTGTTGGTTTGTTTTTGGTATTGTAGCAGCCAAAGGACTACCTGATATGGATTCCTCGATCCTTATACACCACAACGGCGGCATTCCAGCCAACAAAAAACTGTCCACAACTTTACCAGAGATAGAATATCGAGAAAAAGGGAAAGAAAAGGACAAGGATGCCAAAAAACACAACCTTGGAATAAATAACAACAATATTCTACAACCTGTAGACTCTAAAATACAAGAAATTGAGTATATGGAAAACCATATCAACAGTAAAAGATTAAATAATGACCTTGTGGGAAGTACAGAAAATCTCTTGAAAGAGGACTCATGTACTGCTTCCTCAAAAAATTATAAAAATGCCAGTGGGGTTGTGAACTCCTCACCTCGAAGTCACAGCGCCACAAATGGGAGCATTCCTTCCTCATCTAGTAAAAATGAAAAGAAGCAGAAGTGCACTAGCAAGAGCCCAAGTACACACAAGGACTTAATGGAAAATTGTATTCCTAATAACCAGCTAAGCAAGCCAGATGCACTGGTAAGGTAAGTAGTGTGCTGTGTCCTTCCTTACCAGCTTCTCAACAAACTGGATGTGCTCTCGGAAACAGACACTCCCCAGTGGACTGCTAGGGCTTGTGATCAGATCTGTGACTCGTCACATTTTGCTCTTTCTTTTATATGGGTTTCTTGCCTACCTTGTGTCATTGAATGAAGTATTGATTTGTGGGGTTCTGGATCAGAGGTGTTGGTGATGACTTTCCACATTTGACAGATAGGCATGTAGCCTGATTCTTCAAATGGTGTTGGAAGGCTCTTTAGTCTTTGTCCTTTTTGTTAATTAATAACATGTGAGGAAACATCTAGAGCCAGACCATGGGAATGACTAGATTTAATGTTGTCTAGGTACAAGCAGGCTCAAATTGGAGTGATATTAGTGAATATCCAGAGGGCTACATATACATATATGTAGTCTTTGGGTCATAGTCCCAAAGAATCTGGATGGAGGTCAGAGCTGCAAGGGTGATCAGCACAGGTGTACATATAAAGCTGGTGTCCAGTGTCCTGGAGATTGCAGGTCCAGTCCTAAATTTCTTTATGGCCATCGATTCTTGTTGTCTGAGGGCAGCATGGATTCCTGTTTTTGTACTGTGTTTGTTGGGAAGGTCTTTCTCAGATCAGGCCTGACACTTTTATGTTTGCCTAGTCAAAGTTCTTTTGGCAAAATCCCAGAGGAAGTTGAGTTTGTTCCTGGTTCATCCAAATCTCTTTGTCAAAAAGATACAAGTAGGGAAGGTAGAGGCTTGAGAAAGTTGTGTTTATCATTTTTCTTATTTTGTTTATTTTTTTGGCACTTAGAAAGTGAGTTATTCCTAGATAACTCTGGGATAGTTAAGAAAAGTGTCTTTCTAAAAACACATAGGCAAATACAGTGTTAATCTGAAGTGTTCCTTTCCTTATCATTGGTTGAAAGAACAATGTTGTATTGCACTAATTGGCTCAGACTTAATTTTTCTGTATTTGTATAAATTATGTTGGGCAAGTATGAATATGTTCTTGTACCTCAGGTCTTTGACCTGGAAACTGAGATCTGAACCAGAGTTTTTTTCCTCACATGTAACCCAAGAAGGCAGTTGTAACTCACCCGGTTCAGTGAGTTGTCTGTTCTGCATCCTTTTGCTTACTTAAAAACTAAAGACAGTTTATTTGGAGATGTGTGTGGTGGGGTTCAACATTGTAAATTTGAACTGTTAATTATTTGTTTTAACTTTCTGATTGGCAGCTGGATTAAGAGAGATATGTTTATGTTGTACTGCTACAGGCTCTAGAGGTTTCATAGCTCCCACACTATGAAACATGCTGTAGCTATAGGTGATTGTGGGCAAGCATCCTTATCTGTTTGTGATGACCTGACCACTCATGCTGGCAGAGAAAACTCTCAGCAGACAGCCCTCCTCCAGATGCCCATGGAAGAAAGCCTAATTAGTGGACCTTCTGTTTCCTACAAATCTTCTAGATGCTATAGATGCAACATCTGCCACAAGCTAGTCAATGTCCTTTCTCTCATGTGATTTTAATATCAGTTAAGCCAAAGCAATTTTCCTAGGTTGGTTTTGCAGAGAGAACAATCAAGACTTAGTCTGCAACACTGTCCCTTGGTCTCCAGCGTGATGCTGATTGACTCCGCTACTTGATCTGCTGTTAGTAGAGACTGAGGACTCAGACCAGCAGTTGTCCAGTAAATTACAGGGTGCTGTGGCGTGCGCCCCTTGCTCACTCCCAGGGAGTGTGCCAGGTCAGCATGGACGCTCTGCCTTGGCCTACAGGACCCCAGGGCAGTCCTGTCTTAGAGAACTGTATTCTGTCAAATAAATAAGTAGATAGAAAATACTGTATTTATGTAGTTTGGTAAACTTCTATAGTGTTATTTTCAGCTTTTAATGTAACATAAAAATAAAAGAGTGAGCCACGTGGTGGTGCATGCCTATAACCCCAGCATTCTGGAGCCTGAGGCAGGAGGGTTGCAGGCTCAAGCCCATTTTAGCAACTTGAGCAAGATTCTGTCTCAAAATAAAAATTTTTTCTTAAATGGGCTGGGAATGTAGCCTAGTGCAAAGATCCTGGGTTCAATTGCCAATACTCCAAATAGACAAATAGATGGATAGAAAGATAGATAGATAACCTAAATATTCAACAGCAAGAGAAGTCTAAATATGGTCTATTCACTTAATAAATTGAATACAGGCATTACATTGTATTTTTCAGAGCAGTATTAAGTTCATAGAAAACCTGAGGGAAAAATAGAGACATTTTAATTTGTGTGCCGTTTCCTACATTGCCCGCCTTTCTTCCCCCATTGCCAGCATTACTCCCCCATTGCCAACAAACATGCTGCAGTTGATGAGTCTGCTGTGATTCATCGTTCTCATCCAGAGTGGACGGCCACGTTGGGAGTCACTCCTGGTGGTGTACATTGTCAACTTCTGCATAATGATGGGTATCACCTGGTACAGAGTGGTTTGCCCTAAAAGTCCCAGGTTATGCCTATTTGTTACTGTGTTTCCACCTAAGCCCTTCCAGGCAGTATTTCTCATGTCTTCAACGTTTTGCCTTTTCTAGAATGTCACATAGTTGAAATCATACAGTAGATAGCCCCGTCAGACCATCTTGCACTCTGTAGTACCCATTTAAGATGCCGCCTGTCTTTTCATGGTTTGAGAACTCACTTTTTGGGGCTGAATGATACTCCATTATCTGGATGTACCATAGTTTGTCCATTCACCTGCTGAAAGACATCCTAGGTACTCCTAAATTTGGGTAATTTGAATAAAACTGCTATAAATACGTGCATATAATGTGGAGATCTTATTCGGTTTTGTCATGTTGTGCTTTAGACAGGCTCTCCTTGTGTACTTCAGGCTGGCCTTGAACTCACTGTACAGCCCTGGCTGGCTTCAACCTTGTGGCAGTCCTCCTGCCTTAGCTCCCCGAGTGTGCAACACCACACCCAGCTTCCTGTGTTTGCCACTTAAATATGTTACGTAATGAGGTGTCTGTTGAGGTCTGGTCTTTTTTTTTTTTTTTAAAGCTAAGCTATTTGTTTTCTATTTGTTGAGTTTTAAGAGTTCTTTGTGCACTTTGGATAACATAACAGTCTTTTTATTAGATGTCACCTGGAGACATTTGTTCTCAGTCTAAGGCTTGTCTTTTAAAATTGACAGTTTCTTTTGCAGAGCAGTTTTTAATTTTAATATAGTTCAGTTTCCTAATTCTTTCTTGCTTGCTTCTTGTCTTTAGAGCTTTATGTGTAGTTTTAATATTCTCCTTTCTTCACTCAAATTACATCAAACTCACCTTTCTGCCTTAGCTAACACGTGTTTTCCTATGGTGTGGAATATTGCACAGCAGGCTACGTGGTTGTCAGCAGACGCAGTCTCAGATGGAACAGATCAAGCCCCCCTTGGGAGCAGCTGCTGGCCGGGAGTGGCAAGGCCTGTCCGCACAGGGTCAGCAGAGCTTTGTTTGCATGTGGCACAAAGATCCCTCTCAAGCACAACCTAAGACTGTAAGGGTTCTGTTGGTGATTGTTTTAGTTTCCTGGTTAAGGGAGAGAATTCAAACCTGAGTTAACAACGTGTAAAATGATCCATATCCTGTAGACAGGTTGAAGCAAAAGTCTCTTCTCAGTTTATTTCCATTCCACTGCCTATTTTGTATTCAAAACAGAAGTTTGTGGTTTTCATTTTTAGTGTTTATTTTTTAATATGACACCAACTCATTGAGATATAGTGATACCTTGGCTTATGAATTTAATTCTTTCCACAATTCTGGTAACAGAATTCATTCATTGCAACTGAACCAGGATTGTGGAGTTAAGCTCACGAACGAGGTACCACTGTTGAATTTTTAAAGTATTCACAGGTTGCTTGGCAAGATAATATTTAACAATATTGAGTAGAATTTAGAATGTTGTTTAGGATGCTGCTTTTAGATTTTTGTTTTTTGAAGCTGGAATACATCTAAGAGACATCTAGATGAGTCGCCCGTGACCCTGTCCTTTTTTTTTTTATCAGTGAAGTGAATGAGTTTTGGAAGAGTAACAGGCTGGTGCATACAAGGGCCACCTACAGTGGCTATGCCAGCACCAGACTGCTGTTTCTTAACTTCTGCTCTTTCTGTTATCTCATGCTGCTTAAAAGTTTATCAACCTCCTCTATCTCTCTGCTCTAGGTTTTTGTTGCTTTAAATGCAAATACACTGGCTCAAGAATTGGCACCAGAATTAGATTTTTATGCTCTCAGTGCTAAAATCTATAGAAGAAATGCTTAGAACTTCAGAATTTACATTCTTTTGTTTAAATGATATCTTAAATGTTTAAAAAAATTCTTTCTTGCTCTTGCCAGAGATACAAGGATGTAGTTATCTGTAATAAGTTAATAGAAAGCCAGCTACTTGTGTTCTTGAAAACTTATAGGTTCTCTGAAAATTTATCTCTGGTTAGAGATAGTTAAAGGGATTAGTCTGCTTTGGGGAGCCTAGAGGCACCGAGCCTGGAATTTGCCTTTTATTCTTAATTATACAGCCTCAGGCAGGCTGGCCACAGGAGCCCTCAAATCAGGAATATAACTGTCAACCTTCCGAGAAGTCACCATTGTATTCTTTTAGCTTGGGAGTTCTAGGGTCCTGGTGTATGGGCATTGCCATGATGCTAAATTCCTACAAATTTTGAGGCTGTGGAGTTGAAGAGCCTTTTATAAGGACAAATGGAAATCTGGGTAGAGTTGTATTATACTAAAAACAATATTACTTTGAACACTTTTGTTTGTAAACAGTGTGGTTCACAAATGAGTATTTGGCAGAATTTCAGTTTATTAACAAATACAACTGCGGCCATCTTTTCCATAATTGTAGAATAAATTAAGTTTGTGAACACAGATACCACTGTACTCACTCTTACTACTTTCTAAATTTATGTGGTTGTTTTAGGCACACTGAAGTGTTACGTTTAAAACTTGATTTCCTCCTACAGTTAATTCTGTTTGTTT